TATATAATATACTATAGTATATATAATATACTATATATTATATATATAGATATATACTATAAAAAGTTGATATGATGGTACTATTATGTATACTTCTTATATGATCTGCTAATAGCTAATTAAAACACACACACACATACACACACACACACACACGTTGTGTCATGTCATAATAGCAAGTCACTTTATGTTTAATTTGCAATTGTTATAATTTGCGATTAATTACTTTGAATATATCATTGTTTTCTTTGGACTACTGGAACTAAATCAATTATACCTAATTCAACTAAATTTATTTATAAAATTTATTTATATTACGTTAATCTTTGTTACAAATATTTGCATACATAAAGCTCAAATTATTATTAGCTGTACATTTGTGTTTTATAAACTTAGGAATTTATATTCAGATATGGCTTTGAATCAACTGATTAGCTATTGCCCTGCCTATTGTGCACAACTGATCTGATATCATGTATCATATTTTTGATATATTAATTATGTTACCACTGCATTCAATAAAGTTGTTGTTATTATTATTATTCTTATTATTAATATATGAAGTAATATGATTTACAAAAAAAAACGAATATTTATTGAGTAAGTGTATAGATTTTAAATATATATAGCCAAAATTTGCCATTTTTAGATTAATAAATTTAAAATAACAGAACTCTTAATGTTCAAAATACGACATGATATAAAAGACTAATAAGAGTCGGAAATTATCCATTATTCAAGAATCAAAAATAGAGTAAAAAAAATCTTCATTATTCGTTTAAGCCGAGTTCATTATTAAGTGAATTATTTGAATTTATGTTTGATAAACTGACAAAGTCAAATTTAATCATCTAATCAATTAAATTGACAAAATAAGAAGATATATCAATGTTTTTAAAGATTTATACAAGAAAAATATATCAATATCATTAGAGATATAAGAAATAACTGAAATTTTGTATTTTCTTCGTCAAATAGCTAATTATTTTTCTTTATTTACAGCCACCAATCGAGGGAACCTTAGAGCGATGGGGCAGTTTCACATCAATTCTCTGTGAAACTCTGTCGAAAATGCAAAATACGAATGGCCATCAAACTTATACTCCTTTGAATCTTCTTTGTAAGCTCAGGAAAAAGACTACGCAATGCGTGGATGGAGGGCAGCACGATTCACATGAGTTTCTTCGACACTTATTGGAAATAGTTCGAAATGAAGATCTTCGAGTAAGTAAAAAAATGCTCTTAAATATCTTTCAGTTTTCGATATATTTTAGTATTTCAATAGAACCCTGAATATTTATAGATCTTCCTAGTATTGTATTCTTACAATATTTAATAGGTCAATATGTGTTAAATGTAAACACATCATTAGTTATGAAATTTATCATTAATCATTAGAAATGAAATAAGTTTTTGCAAAGCATTCAAATAATCTATTTTATAGATTATTATATATCTATCTTTTTGGAAGCTTGTAAATAAACCTTCTTTCATAAATGTATGGACTTTCAAAATGATAAGTGCATAGATTTTAAATATATATAGCCAAAATTTGCCATTTTTAGATTAATAAATTTAAAATAACAGAACTCTTAATGTTCAAAGTACGACAAAGTACGACATGATATAAAAGATTAATAAGAGTCGGAAACTATCCATTATTCAAGAATCAAAAATAAAGTAAAAAAATCTTCATTATTCGTTTAACATAGTATAATTGAAAATTAATTTAACAAAGTATAATTGAAAATAGATATAACAAACAAGAATTGCAGAAAAGAAGAAAATTAAAATGCTACGAATACAATACTAAGTACAATACATGTTTCGATCTTATATTTGAGCCCTCTTCAGATGTACAAAAAATTCCGACGCAGTAAAAATTATTATTCAAAGATTAAGAAAGTGATTGTTTCATTACATAATTAGATGAGTGTTAAGACAGAGAAACGGAAAATTGCTTGTTAAGCGATTGATTGATTGCGAAAATTTCTCGTTGTTGCTCTGTTTTTTAATGTAAAGCACCTCAGAGACAAGGCGTATTTGTATTGGATTGTCCGGAAAGTTCGTGCCGATGTTGAAAGAAAATTGAAACGCAGAAGATTTAAATTTTAGTATACATTTATTAAATTATATAGATTAGTCGGCACGAATTTTCTGAACAACCCAATATATCGGTTTCTTTATTCAAGAATGAATAAAGAATGTTGTCTCAAAAGAAAAGCATAATTTTTAGTTTGAACAGAGTTTTTTTGTTGTCGGATCTTGTTTTTCATGCAAAAAATATTACTCTCAAAACATAAACATTTTAATAGAAAACGATTTTCCGCTGAAATTAATTTTGATATCATTAATAATAGAATCAAAGATATCATTCGGAAAAAGTTGTCTAGAAGTAACAACTTAGAGAATAATGAAAAATCAATTAATCCATCTTGGTTCACCTTATGTACTGACTTTAATAGAAAAATTTTTAAACAATTTAATAGAAATGATATCAAGATTTCTTATTATGGTACAAACAAATTAAACAAATTTATTAAAGTACATAATATAAATCCTTTGGACTGTTTCTCGAAGTTTAACGTTGTTTATAAGATAAACTGTAAACTATGCATCTTACGTGGGACAAACGAGAAGGAAGCTGAAAACTCGGATTTCAGAACATCGAAATCATATACAATGGAATACCAGTCTAAATCAATAATAACAGATCATCGATCGCAATTGGGTCATGATTTTGATTGGAACAATATTCAAATTTTAGATAAATCGATATATAATAAAATGTCTCAGAGATGCTTAACATTAAAAATAGAGTAATAGTCTTAACTTACAGACAAATACAGAAGGTCTTCATAAATCAATATATTCTGATTATAAACAATGTTTGACATTGCGTTACTAAGATTTATCGCAATACAGTCGAATCCGTCGAGAACGTTGTACAGTTTTCTTTATTTTATACATTGGACGGTATGCACTTACAATTGTGATATTAATTTTTTAATTTTGATAACTTATATATAACGTTTGTTAACTTATACGTATATATAACGTTTTTTTATGTTCCTTTATGTTCTCACTAAAACAACAAGAAATTTTCGCAATCAGTCAACCAATCGCTTGACGCAATTTTTTTGTCTTAACATTCGTCTAATTATGTAACGAAACAGTCGCTTTCTTAATTTTTGAATAATAATTTTTACTGCGCCGGAATTTTTTGTACATCTGAAGAGGGAGATTTTTTGTACATCTAAATATAAGGTCGAAACATGTATTGTACTTAGTATTGTATTCTGTAGCGTTTTAATTTTCTTATTTTCTGCAGTTCTTGTTATATCTATTTTCAATTATACTTATGTTAAACGAATAATGGAGATTTTTTTTATATTTTCTAACTCTTATTAGTTTTTTATATCATGTTGTTGTATTTTGCCATTTTTATTTCCTCCTCTTTTTCTATTCATGAAAACCATTCTTATTTTTTAATGGCCACAGAGAGTATATTAAAGAAAAAAACTCTTATATTAAAACATTATAACATTATTATAACATTATACGATCCTTAATAAATCGTTCATAATTCTTATATTAATTTATAATTCTTATATTATTTTACTTTGTGCAGATATTAATGTGCTACAATAAAGCCCATTACACTTAAAATTCCATAACTGTTGTTTTTCGTTAGTTGTTTTGCATTTAATACTTAGATTTATACACATATTCTCTATAGAACTTTATATTATATTTATATTATATTATACTTCAAATAAATTTTTTTTTATTTTAGAAAATGTGGGAAATCAATATTTTAAAACCAATGCTAAATTTAATGCTAAAACAAGTTCTTAATTTGTGCATTCAGTATGATGTAATGATGAATCTTCAAAGTAAATTAAAATTGTGTATGTCGCTCTGCAGAGATACCAGAGCATAATTCTAAAGGAGGTCGGCCTGAGTGGAAAAACAAAGCCGGATTGCGTGGAAAAGGGCCTGAAATCTCGCGTGAAGTTCTATGGCAATCAGGCCAGTACGAGGCTGTTAGGACCAGAAGTAGTATTTCGCGGCGTGTTAGTATCTACTCTAGAGTGCCTGGATTGTCATCATTCGTCGCAACGCACCGAGCCATTTCTAGACTTGAGTCTACCTGTCACTGCGGATAAGCCACAATCTCCTCTCTTAAAGTAAAGGAAAAAACTTATTCATTTTCTTTAGGTTACAATAATTAATTTTATTAACTTCTAAAATAGTATATGATAATTTTAATATATAGAAGGAAGAATAGCGAATTTGAGGATGCTTTTGACATGATGAACATTCAACAACATGATTATCAGACGGAGATTTGGAAATCGGAGGATACACCATGGAAGCAATTGAAAAAAGAGAAAAAGGCAGCGAGGAAGAACCGAAAAAATAAAAGGCACGAGAATTATAACAATTCTAATGCGTTAATGGATCTAAATAATCCCGCGGAAGAAAACAATGATAATGTTTTGAAATCAGGTATAGCTCTTTTTCTTTTGCCGTAGATATAGAAAAGCTATTTATAACAATTCGGATCTTTCTTATGCACTATACAAATGTTCCGAAAGGAAGATTTCCCATTTTCCCATTTTCAAAATTCATCTTCTACAACAAAGTTATATAAACAAAATTATAAACAAAGTTATAAACATTTTTTATTTTTAGAAGAGAGTGACGCCGATGTAGAAGACAATATTGAGATGGACAATTCTCATCCGGAGATTGGAGAGTCTGGTTATAGCTCTGAGAAAGCATCCGCCGTCACCAGTCCTGTATCTCCTGCTGACCATCATCACCATCATCATCATCATCATCATCATCATCATCATCATCATCATCATCATCATCATCATCCAAACAACGATTTTAATAGCGCAATCAGCCCTGAGGACAGTAATCTGGATAACAGTAATTTAGACGCAGCACAAGTTAGACATCCAGTGAACATTAATGCGTTAATTAGTCCTAGTCCAACCGATGTGTCGATGACAGACTTGACTCAAATCAGGATGCCGTTCGAGAAGACTGACAGGACCAGCTCCGAGAATGAAGTGTTAGCTACAGCATTGATCAGCTCCATAATCGTCAACTCTGACGTCACAAGCCCCGAGATACCCACCGCAAGTTTAAGTAGCTCTGCTGCTTCTAAGGGGAGTCCCACTAGTCCTGTCAATAATGAAAAAATTGCGGAAAGGTCAGATATTCAGATATTCAAACATTTACAATTTTTTAATTTTGAATGTTTTTTTAATTTTTCTAGTTTCTTGAAAGCTTAAGCTTATTAAATTTGTTTGAATATTGATTTTTGCGATTCTTAAATCCTGGATTTTTTACATTTCAACTCTTAATGTGTTGTACAAAATTAGTATCTAATTTCTTCCTTTTGAATATCTATATTTAAAAAAATTTTAGATTCAAAATTATAGAAATTACGCACATAGGTGATAAAAAAAAATGTTAAACGTTGTTTTCGAAGATTTTTTTAGATATTTAAAAGGAGGATGTTATGTTAGGACTGTTTTTTGGTAGTAGCCGTTTAATATGATGTGTAATTTGTATCTCAGAACTTTTTTATTTTTGGTCGAAAAACGGCCCTAACTACATTCTCCTCTTTGAATTAAATGTAGTATCTTCTCAGATTGGATGGAGTTGAGACATGGATGGCTACTACTTTATCAAGATATAGTAGAAGAAAATATAATAACGGAACTTCGAATGGAGATAATCCCGAAGAGCAAGATGTATATAACGAGCTTGGTGACATAGTGATGGGAATGTCTAGGCTGGGAATTGCCGGGCATCAATCACTTGGCAGGTACACAACCAAGGAGGGTGAATGTTCCGTGGAATCATGCTTGAATCAATTCACTGCACTAGAACTAATGACGGGAAGTAACAAAGTCGTATGCGAGGCATGCACAGCTCGTGAGAAGAAGGTAACTCAAAAAGAAAAGAAAGTGATCCTTCTCAAGATCTCTAAAGAAACTTGGTACATTCGAGAAATATGTGAGAACTGTTATAACATTTTCTTTTTTGTCTCCTTATGTAAGTGAGAATAATACCATTTCATTTTCACTTTTCTTTTTTTTTTTCTCAGACTCAGGAAGGTTCGTCAAAGATGGTATGCACTTCGAGTACAAAGCAATACCTCATCTCTCAAGTACCCCCGATATTAATACTGCATTTGAAAAGATTTCAAACGCAGAGAATTGGTTTTCGAAAGGTTTTCAAGCATGTGTCATTCCCGATATTATTGGACTTAGCACCGATTTGCACAGATCGCAAAAAATCTCGACTTTATGCACTTTATGGGGTCGTCGAGCACAGTGGAACTGTTCATGGTGGTCACTATGTTGCTTATGTCAAGGTAGATTATATTTAGATTTTGAAACACTTTCGTACGGGATATTTGAGATTTTATAAAAAGATAAGTTCATTAACTTATTTCTCAAAAAATATGGATAAGAATGTACATTGAAAATAACTTTAAATAAAAATATGTTAGAATCTCGTATTTATATGAATTTATCTTTTTATTTATATGATTGGAAGAATTTTATTGGAAGAATTTATTAAAGTTGCAACTATATTGCACTAAAAAATCAAAGAAAAAATACGAAAATATTAGATGTTTCTACTACTTCTGATGATCTTTCTTTGTAAAAAAATACGTGACATAATAAATTGAAAAATTATTTTTACTGATTGAATTTTTATTTTGTGTTTATATTAGACGAGATTGCCGCTATCATCAGATGATCCTCGATGGAAGTTTCTTCCAAAGGATAAAGATTCTAAAGCGAATAATGAATCGAGTAGTTCAAATTCAGATGAGGAAGAAGCATCAGCGAAAGGAGTATCCATTGTGGAACCTCCTCCTGGGAAATGGTATTATGTATCAGATTCTCGGTAAGATTTTCTATAACATATTTATCAGAAAACACAAAAAAAAGAAATATACATATAACAAAATTAATATCATCAGCTACAGGAGATTATAAAATTAATTTCAGAAGTTGCTTTTTTGTTTAGAAAATTAAACATAATTTTCTAAGTACAAATCTCATATTCATAAAAAATTGATATTGCATGCAATATATTGCTTCTTGTCAGAATGTAGTAAAAATTGTTACACTTGTTTGCTAATTTATTTCACGTGTAATAAGAGTAATTACTAGTATAATTATTATACTATTTGTTTAATCACTATTTGAAATTTATTGTAATTTTTTATGAATATCTATTCTATTTATTCTACATATTCTATTCTAGGGTATCAGAAGTAGATGAAAATACAGTGTTACAAAGTCAAGCGTATCTCTTATTCTACGAGAGGATTCTCTGATTCAATAAAGTGAATGTGAATGAAGATCGATGTAATTACGTTTATATTTCCAATTTTCGAAAGAAAGAAAACAGACTTATAATAAATTTATTAATTACATAATTATTAGCATCATATTGTGCGTTATCGAATGTATGATGTAACAGATTATGTGTACACACATTGCAAGAAATCTGTAATTTATTAGAAATATTGAAAATTTGGTTCTTGAGAAGTTGTTTTTTATAATCGATTAGCAACAGATAGCAAGAATTATTAATAAAAAACTTGGAAACTTTCATAAAACGTTGAAGTGGATGCTGACAGCCGAACTTGACCGATGTCAATAGTACCATGATGGAATTAATAAGGTCGATGAGATATTGTTATAAAGATGGTCGGCGCTTATGGAATTTGCGTGCCTGTTAAAATTTTAATGATTAAGAATAAGAAATAAGACTAATAAACAGTAACTAATTTCATGATTTATTAGTTTGTAGTATGTATACATATATGTGTTTAAAATTTAATAATACTAGATTTTTATTTAAAACTGATTTTTAATATTGTCATCCGAATTTGATTATCAGTAGAGATGATAACTGCAGAGAAAAAATTGTAATTTTTCGGTAATATATAAGATAATAAGCATTAAAAGTATGCATACTTATTTATACAGCATTTATATAATGAAAAAATCACGAATTTAATAATGTATTATCGAAATATTTATATTAATAATCGTAAAATTTTTAGTTGTCGGTAATGTCATTGTTCATCATTACCTCTGGATCCCTGGGATCTCATAGTCATGAAAATTTGCCTAGGTTCAACGGTCTTTAAAAATATCTCGTCGATGATAAGACGAAATGTTGCGCAATGGCGATAGCAATACTGGAAGTAACCAATCAAATGTTCCCCAACATGCACTTTCCTGCGTAGGGCCGTGATTTCACTAAGGCCGATTATTTAAGGAGATGCTGGAGTCGCCTGTATTACCGATAAAACATTTTTGACATTTTTGTTTCTGTTGAATTTCTTCATAGTGATTTCACAGAATAAAAATTTCTTTTCCACAATAAAAATGTACATGCTAATGTACTTGTCGCTGGTGTATTTCGTGTACAAAGCTGAAAAAAATAAAAAATTACAGATTTCTTTATTCATTTTTATCTCAGAATAGCGACCGAAATTAAAATTAATTTAAGTCTGCATTGGTGGAAATGGGCATTAGGATTTCTTTCACTAACCTCGGTTAAGTTAACCGACGATTACATGAAGCTTATTTTTGTCCAGTTTTACAACGGTTAACTCTTATGCGTGATCTACCATGGCAGTATCAGTAATAGATGAGGCTGTAAGAGTAAGAAATTGTGAGAAAAAGTCAACTATGATCAATTGGTCGATTTCTACACCTACTCCTTAATTAATTATTGTTATTGCTCATTGACTATATAAGATTCCACAACTTATGATTAACTTTTAATCGGGGTTTAACTTATTTTAAATAATAATGAATAATAATGAGTAATAATGAGAAACTGTGGGCCTAAAGATGCCATTTCATGCGACGCTAAAACTTGACATTCATTTGTGTTCATTCTATATAATTTTATGATTAACGTTAAAAAGTTTGTTTCTATTCAACTTTTTTGGCGGGCCAATTTTTATAATATAAAATTTATTTTGGGCATTTTTAAAGCTCCTAGTAGTTATCACAGCCACAGTTATTGAATGACGTCACAAGCGAGAAATGACACGTTAACTTTTATTACGTACCATTTATAAATAAAGACAATTTGAATAAATGCATAACAGAGCATAAGCATAATATAAGACTGCTAGATCAATGAGCATCTAGCATAATATCGCCATATTGATTTATATAAGATGCTTGGTTTAGCGGCCTTATGTGACATTTATGTTTTGTTATTTCATGTGTGAAATTCATTCATGTGTGAAATTCATTTTTGTTGCATTTCATGTGTGAAGCCTTTAAAGTGGGAAGCACAGACTCTGGCATAATGCATAATACACGTAATGCATAAGAAAATAAACCAATTAAACCTTCGTTTTTTTCCTTTCTATGAAATAAAGAACTCTGATTGGTTGAATTTCTTATGTGTTATTCGTTATGCAAGAGTCTGTGCTCCACGCTTAAATGTAGTCAAACTTGCATAATATAAACCGTATAAACATATGCATAAAGAAAATTATTGGATATGATGAATTGTTGGGAAAATAATATCAGGATAGCGATCATGAATTTTTCTTTAAAGAGGAAAAAGAATGAAAATGAAAACAAAATTCATATAAAAAATTTTCACTTTTTACATTTCTGCCCTAGAAAAAAAGTTACAATCGCTATTTAGATTCTTAGGGCCGGTTGTTCCACTTTGGTAATTTTACCTGTGAAATAAATTTGGTAATCCGCGCATATGATTGGATAATCTTGTTACTTACCCAACAGGTAAAATTTATCAAAAGATGGAATAATCGACCTTTAAGCCAGAATCAGACTACATATTAAAAAATGTGATTGAAGATTGAGAAGCTCTGCACAATAAAAGGAACAAAAAATAGAGAATAGAAAATAAGAATTTCAACCTATCAGAAATCATGTATTGTGGAATACATAGTTTCTTATTCTTATTCTTTAAAAGGTTGAAATTTTTATTCTTTATTCTCTGTTCCTTTTATTATGCGGAGCCTCTGAAAGATTAAAATTTGACCAATTAGAATAAAAGAAGACAAAATTTCTTTCTCCTTATTGATGAAATTTTAATCTTTAATCATCAATCTCAATCTTCAATGCATAGTCTTATTCCGGCTTAAATCAGAACAGAGAGAAACCTGAGAGAAGACATGACGGTCCAAAATCTGTAATCAAAATATAAACAAAATGCTGCCGCGCATTATTGCTCTCTGATAAAGTGGATGTAAATTACAACAACATCCATTTTTCTTAGGGTACATTAGAGTCCTATATGAAAAAAGCGACGGTGTCGCGATTTCTGATTGATAATAAAGCAGCCATATTGTACCTGCAATGGAGAGCTGTCATATGTTTCCTTTCTACAGCTGAACTGGTACATACACATACTTAAAATAGATATACCAGGTGTACAAGTATGAAATGACGATTTGAGAAACAGATGGCGCACCAATGAAGTACAAAGATTTAACATTATACGCCATTTTATTGTATCATCAACAAGTGTCAAACGCGCAAAGTGATTTGATTGAAAAGTGTTTGTATAGTATTGTATTGCTA